CTTTCCAGCGATCGTGTTCCACTGTAGAGCAGTGTTTGTCCACTAGAATGGCTTTTATTCGTCAAACCCATTTGCACGGACATCTAGTCTGTCGTTGCAACGTTAAGTTCCGTGCTTGGATTGCCCACCATCTAAACCATGATAAAGAATCCAGCTGTATTTTACTTCCAGACTTTATTTCTTCATCTGCAATGTATCTACGAAGGTAAAAAATGAAATCGTCAGCAAGAGTGAAATTAAGAATACGTAGCACGTCTTTTTGCGAATTCATGTTTTTTCTAATCTGTACGGAAAAATAACTTAAATACTTCAGTTGAACTAACAAGTTGCTCTCATTAGACTTAATTACGGGAGATGAAAATGTTTCTGTTGAGTTATTACACGATCGAAAGCGGACAGGTTGTTGAATCTAGATAAATGTCTGAATAACCCGTGGTGCATGCTAGGTGCATTAGCAGCACAGAAACTCAAAGCTACTGCAGGGTGGCAAACGTCCACACAGTGCACTGCACTTAAGCTCGTAATATAACTTTGTTATAAATAATCTTACTTTCGGAACTTTAGCAAAGAATTTAAAAAAAAACCAGGATCAAACTAAAGGGCCTGTCGAATCAAATTGTCCGTATAAAAACCTAAATCCGGCATCAAACATTTTGATTTGCACCAGCGTAATAGTAATAAACAACAGGACATGCACACTCATTTGAAGAATCCAAAGAAAAATGCCATCGAATAAATGATGCTAGTGTCGATCAAAACACTACAGAGCAAATACAGCTTCCAAAACTTTTATAAATCCTGTCTTTCGCAAGCAGGAAAATTTAATAGTGCAACTCGCCTTCGCCGATCGATAACGAAACACGTTAAACAAAACGCACAAAAGAACGTTGACAAAACTTGCCATCAAGTTGTGTTGCAGTAAAACTGGTTTCAGGAGATTTAAGAAAACACCAAGCTTTAAAATTGGTGCTTTCTTCTAGTTTACACTTGGAATCATTCCTCTAGATATTTATTCCACCAAGAGCTCACAAATTTCACTGAGAACAATTCAAAGCCAATCTACAAGATTTCGTAACCACTGTTTCTGTGTACAACCAAATCACTTGGCCCACTCGGTTCAGAACAGGAACAGACCATCTGTGCTGGATCTTGTGTTTACCAACGAGGAGCATATGACTGGTGTGTTGGTTTTATACTGCCCTTTACTTCGCATTGATCACGCATTGATCAGTTTCATCTTCGTATGCTATGCGGAATATCGGAATAAGAACGGTGGGACTGTGGGAACCATCACAAGCTACGATCGATTAGCCCAGATCGTCAATGCAACAACTTGGTCGTTTCTCGCTAAACAACCACCGGAAGTCGCCTGATTCCAGTTCGTCAACACATTAAGTCAGGTGATTGCTGAGGCTTCAGAGATAATAGTTCGCAATGAGTGTTAGTCAGTATCTTTCGTTAGGAGCAGAACTCGAAAATGTATGACAGTACGCAAGGCAGCATAACGAGTGTACAGAGAAGCATCAGCACAAGAAAATTTTGACAACTATGTAGCCCAACGTAACCACTGCACTCAAATGTTAAGAGAAGGCAAAGCCGCCCATCAGCAGAACATCGCAATAACCTTCAGAGCTAACCCCAAACTGCTGTACAAGCATGTCAATAACCTACGAAAAGTAAGGCGAGGATTTCCCTTGCTTAGGACGGCCGATGGCTTAACAATAACGACTGTGGAAGCAGCAAACGCGCTGCGGATGAAATATGCCCCCAAAGTTTCAGAGAGTATTGCCACCAAGCAACCTTTCAAACTTGTCGTCTTCATGCCAGGACTAACTCACATCACTCTAAAAGCGGAGGTTGCACGGCAAAACTGACGTCTTAATGCAAACACAACTCGCCGGGTGTTGATACCATCCTTCCAGAGGGACTGAAAACAGCAGCAAGCTAACTGGCAGGACCTTCAGCTCAGTCATTCCAGCGCTATTTAGACAAGAATTAAGTTTCCGAAAGGTGGAAGTTCGGAATAATAACCCCGATCCACAAAGGTGAAAGCCGGTGGAAGCCCCCCTACTAGCCCTCAGTATCACTTCTTCCTATACTCTCCAAGGTCATAGAATCCAGAGTTGCCGATGTACTGATGCGTTAGCTGGCAAATTGTAACATCATCACGCTTGAGCAGCATGGCTTCCGTCAACAGCGTTCATGCACAACGTATTTACCAATCACACTCAGTAGCTGGACCGAGCCATCTGACGCTGGAGGAGGTGTTGATGTGATCTGCCTGGGTTTTTCCAAGGCTTTCGATCGTCTAAACCATCGGATACTACTCTTCAACCTCCAGAATAAGAGGATCGGCGACCCTCTTCTAAGCTGGATTGCCAAATTTCAACTACAACGGCAATTAGTGGTCAGAATTCTGAACACTCTATTGGACCCCACACAAGTCGAGTGTGGTGTGCCGCAAGGCTCAGTCCTAGGTCTACGTTTGCTTTTGGTGTTTAATATTGACGTTGAACAGGGAGTCGCTTCAAAGTTCCTATTATTTGCCGATGATTTCAAAATTTGGCGCAGGACTCAGGCGAACGCAGACCAGCATCTACGTCAGAGTGACCTAGATACGGTATATCAATGGTCAACCCAAAATTGATTGCATTTCAACCTTAGTTAATGCAAGGTACTTTGCATCTGACATCAGAGCATCTATTCATACCGATTCAGAACGAATGTATTGAAACAATCAACTCTCGAACGTGACTTAAGTGTCCTGGTTCAATATGACTTGTATTGCTCCAGGTAATCCGTAAAGGTCTCAAAGACTGAAAACCAACACTTCGGGCTGTTTCGACGGGCGTTTGAACAAACAAACATCTGCATAGTTTGAGAAATGCTCACTTTGTATGTCCGCTCTCCAAGTCGAATACGCAACCCAAGCCTGGCATCCATGGATGAAACACAACCGTAATGCACTTGAGCATCTAAGAAGGTAATTGGAATACGTAAGCTTTTACACCAGGAGAGGTTGCAACGATTGAGGTATATAGCGGAAGCTATCGCAGACTACCAGGCTAACTGATTAGTGCATACTTGATTCTGTGAGAAACATATCATGTGTGTCGCCGTTTACTGCGACTCAGCACAAATACAACCCTGAGGGACCACCCATTGAAACTCGCAGAACTGTTTAACCGTCTGCGTTGCGGCAGAAAATTTTTTCCATTCATGTCTGTCACCCTTGCAATGCTGTCTCAGCATCGGACGTCTCTGCACCAACATTAGCAGTATTTAAAAGACGGTTGGATGACGCGCTCATCCAGTTACAGTTTGTCACTTAGTGCTTCGTCTTTATCCTACAGCTGGAGGATACCATTGATTTATTTGATATTAACGGTGCTATGAATCCAAGCGGATTATGAGGCTACAGAAGAGCAAACGTTAAGTCCTTATTTCATATGTAAAGTACCAACTGTCACTATTTTTTATTAATATCATTATGGTTATTTCGCCTTCCCTACCCAGTATCCAACGGGATTCGGAAAACAACGCTTCTTAATGCTTTTTAACCAGTGAAAATTCATTGTTCATTCTTGATTAATTTCTGTTTGTTCTATGTCCCCTTGGCCATTGTCGTACATACATACCGTGATAGGATTGTGGTCACTACCAACCAATTTTAACCTGTAACGATGGTGACCATGGCCTAGGCTGACTGAGCGTGCACCTTGCCAAAGCAAGGCTAGATTGCTCACGAGGTCAAGTTGCTGGCATAGGTTGAATTTCAGCAGCCAGATGGTGGAAACCTCCGCAAATTAGAAGAGGGATATACTGCGGTCTATTGGTGCACTTGGAAGAGCCACAATATTGTTTTGCACACGGCGCAATCGAAGGCATGCTGACAAATCGAATTAGCATGCAACTTATGAGCGCTTTTCCCCAAGTTCAGAAGATTATACCTCATTCTCCTATGGATATTCCCTTCTCATTCCGGTCAATCTACATGGTAACGCAGATACAACTAAATTAGTGTGCGCAGGAGACGGCAACTTGAGATGCAAATGTACCTAACACTTTTGGCTCCGCTTCTCGAGGAGAGTGTCGCTTTCTTCTTGGAACTTGGTATTTTAGTTGCGGATATTAATTTGCCATTCTAGTTGACAACATCAGTGCCTCTTTCTAAGTCTGCTACGCAAAACCCACTCGACCGTTTCCAATTTATGTGATTATGCATTGATTCCTGCTTTGCATATCAGTTTGGTTAACCTCATATAGACTATCTGAATAAGCATCTCTCTGTTGATCGGAGATCGATTATTGACTTGCTTTGTCTATCTTCTTGGACATACTCTAGGTCCAAATGCTTGTTGTAGGTAGCTAGTATTTGAATCAGAATTCGAATGTATGCAGCAACGTACTGGTTTGGTGAAGTAGTATAATCTCAGCTTCATAAGAGCATCACCTAATTGAGACCATGGTAGTGCTTCCACAGTTTCCAGTTGGTTTCTCTTATTGGGTTACCATCGATGGCATTCTTTTAACCTTATCGCTTTAAGATTTTTTCCTTATTTATCTAATAAACGAGTTGATTTAACGCAGCTCACAAAGCGCACGGTACTGTCAACAAGGCCATCCTCCAATTGACTGGCGATAACGGTATTTTCCGAATTCTATCATTTCAAGAGATAGAAGAATTATTTTATGGATTCTGTGCCAAATAGATCACTACGCATTGAGATACTGTATTAAGGTAGCCAGAATCGGAATCTACCGTCATATGCTTCTGCGTACATTACAAGTAAGCGCAAATTGTGCAAATACTCAAACATACCACATTATTTATTATATGTCCTTTGGACAGCATCATGTTAAAAGCACCTGAAACCAATATTCTATAATCTTACTCACTTGTGTTTCATGATATTATACTTCATTCAGAAAAACCGCGTATAACCCGACCCCCGAGGCCGATCACGACTATCGCTGGGCAGACGGTTCTTTTTTTATGTATGGTGGAAGGAAATCCGTCGCCCAAAATTCAATGGATGGTAAGTGCATTTCACCCACTGACGACCAATTTAATCCTTCTCTACTCATTGCTCATGGCAGAAGTTACATGTGTTGCTTGCCAGACAATAGTACCTCAGGGCTGAAGACAATAAATACTTTAATGAAAGCCACAAAGAATCGTCGCCAATAAGCTATATGTGTGTTTGTAATGTCATCATCTTTAAGCTGCATATTAATGCGAATACGGTCCGTAAACTGCTGAACATAATGTTGACTATCCTTCCTTTTTAAACTTCTTCGAAATTTGTTAAAGACTTGTCCGACTGTACACAAATGCCAAATTTCTGTCTGTCCCGTTAAGGCGCATGTTTGGTTAAGAAAAATGCCCTTCACACGTTGATGTGACATTAACGAAAATTCACTGCCTTCAGGTTCCCAGAGTCTGGAAAGTACTATAAACAAACTGAAGGCACTGTAAGAAGAGGAACGCTGGTAGATGCATGCATTTCGTATTGTCTCCTCAGTACCATTAACAATAACCGAGAAGCGCGGATATAGCTAACAGTGGGTGCAACGCACAATTTATTTCTGTTGTGTTGTAAATTTTTAGATCAGAATCAACCGTGAAACTGTCACTCAGTTGGTATCAGAACAATTAATTTGACAGATTATCCAATGCAGTAGTCATCGCAGGTAAAAAATTTCTTATTTAGCTCAGATCCAGTTTGCATTGCTGTCTCCAAAATATGCCTACAGAAAAAGGGAACCTGGTTTTACATAAGCACTTAGTGATGGTTAAGTTTTCCTATTATTTTCATAAGACAGCGATCTAGAACACGTCCAATAAGTTTACTCTTTTCATGATCTCACTTTCGAACAAATAACGGTGTGATTCGATGATCGTAATATATGAGGCTGTTTCTTGCTAAAATCTAATTTAAACACTTGAATATCACCTTAGTCGAGGGGTTGAACCAACGCGATGATGTTCGGTGGCAGGAACAGCATTCTGACATTCTTTAAGTGAATGTTGGGATGGGAAGTGGCAGTTTCAAGAAACAAATGATGATGTGGATGGAAACTGGATGTTGCCCAGTGGTCGCAATGACGAAGGTTCACTTCAAAGTGAATCCCGGTCTACACTGAGATTGCGCTTTGCAATCCAATCACATAGTGTGCACTCCAACCAAGTGATGTGCTTTCTTTGCTGCATTTTTCTGCAAAGCTATCAAGCAAATCTTCAAATTTAACCAGTAATCCATCCCATTTTATTATTTTTTGAATTACCGGTAGATTTTTCATTTTGCTATTTTGAAATTTTGAGGGCTGCCTGTTGGACACAGAATCCTATGGCTTCTCCTGTAACTTATACAGACTGAGTTCTCGCATGACCAGACATCGGCGCATTGTTTCTTCATAGCATTCGGGAATTACCAATAACGTGTACTTTTGTGGACAAATCCCACGCTCATAAGGCACCAATCTACACTTGAAAGCAAGTACTTCGCCACTGCACTGCTGGTGTCTGGTCTTGCCACTCAGACAAGATAGGTAGCATGAGCGACAGAGCACATCACTTCGTGTCGAAATGTAAACCGCCTGTGCGTTACGGTGTACTACTTTCGTGACACCTCAAGAAGAAATCTCAGCCATTCGTGTATTTGGGGGTCACATTTTACAATTGCTGTAAGGCGTGTGGGTCACAAAATAGGGGTTGTGTTTGTGTTAGAAATGTGGAAGTGATACACAGGTTAATACAAAGAAATATTGGAAAAATATTGGGGATGTTTTTGACTGGTCCCAATGGCAGTTTGGAGAGGAGTAACAACAAATATGGAAACTGAAGCTGGCAGTTAACCGGCATTAGTTCGAGGTTCAGTTAGATCCATGCTTTCTGACGGATCCGATTGAGGGAGAAGTTGATTATGGGTCATAGGTACAAGTGAAGCAAGAACGTGCGTGAACAGACCAGTCCACTTTTGTCAACATAGTTACCGCCGACAGACGGGGCTATACAATATTCTCTAGACTTCGATAATTGACCGGTCTCTTCTCCAAAGCTGACTACTCTAAGCGCAAGTTGGCAACAGTTTCAAGCTTACTTTGTAATATAAATCGGAGTCACTAACCAAAACCTACCCTTAGAAGGAGGCATGAGAGTAAGCCCACTGAATCTCTGGTACCTACGGCACTAACTCCGAAGCAGATTTAACCCAAGTCCTTGATTACAATCAAGTGCGCAGTTCACCAAACTAACTTCTCTATAGATGTGGACCCACTTCAAAATTTACACAATGCTAACGATTGATTGGTCTACACAAATAATCCACTTTTGCCAAATCCGCTCACACAATTTGACAAAGCCCAGAATAGTGATTGAAACTAATCAGTTCATTACATTCTCCTTTGGTGACTAAATATGATAAAATAACATATATCACTCTACGTTATTGGTGTCAACTCGGAAGGAACATGTATAATAGACGGTTCCAGTACATTAATTTAACGAAAGACGAGTCATTGTAAGTACTCAATTCAAGTAACCACAAGGTATATATCACCAAGTAGGAACATTTTCAGCCTTTTACAATATACAATACGGATATCATAAAACAACGTTACTAATAATGCAAGAGTTCACAACCGGGAATGTGGCATTAAAAGTACAACTCTCACTCAAAAAGTTATCTCGAATCTGCATGATGTTTAATTTACAGTGTCGAAGACTAGTTTACCGACCCAAACGAGGGTTTCATCAGTTACAGAATATTTGCTAATAAATTTGCGCGATCCGCGCGGTATCTTAAAGTCTAATCCAAAAACGGGCAGAGAGCAATGGCTGGTGGCATCATTTTCCGTAGTTGCCTATCACTGCGACCTACAAGGGGACAGCCACAGGACGCCTGCGCCTACAGAGGGACTATGGTTGGTTTGCGACGCACCACCCACAGCTCCGTCCACACACCCCATATTCAGTGTAAACAAGGAGAAATAAGACCGGGTGGCATGCGGATGTGAACCATGTTTCATTAACGGAGCCGGCACACACTCCTTCATAGGCAAATATAAGCACGCTGTATTTGGGAATCAAGCGCACACAAGGCGGTGGACCGTAGTCCACTCCACATTGAGCGCATGGAACCACTCTTCGAGCCTAGCACGACCACAAGGATCGTGCACCCCGTCCCCTCCAGCAACGACCAACTGTCTGCTGGAGCTATGTGGACGAGGTAGTGGGTAACAGACAGGTAGGCGCCCTGTCAACGTGCACATTAAGCGCAGCCACACCGGGGATTTCAAACAACAGCCAATTGCTTGAAATATCATTAGCAAATAAAACATATATGTTAAAGCATACGGCAATGCCGACATAACTTTTCTAAATTAGCATTTGAAGTAAGTTGGTTAGCAAGAAATCCGCGATTAGCACAAAATGTCCAGCATTTACTCAAAAATGCTACACACGCAATACAGTTAAATAATGTGTCCAAAATTAGTGACAGCATTGTGGCAAGTTAATAGGAGATAATTCCGGTAAGCAGAACAAACCAAATAAAGTGGAATGAAATTTATCCAGCTTAAAAAAGACCTAGTTTAAGTGTAAGTTGTTTTAGCCCAACTGCGGTGAAGTAACATCATAAATGCGACATCAGCCTCAGCATGGAGCACAGAGAGCGTTAGCAATAGTCACCTTGTATCTAGCCTAACGGAAGATGTTAAAAAGCTAAGCGAAACCTAATAAATCCGCAGCACATAAGGTAAGAGGGATGTTCCAGTGAAAAGGCAACGACCGATTTAAAGGACACGCATATTTAATTATTTCCTCATTCTGCGGACAGGGTTCAATAATCACAATTTTCACACGTTTTCATTAGGTGTCCGGAGGAGGTGGCATGGGAAATGAAGCACGCTACGGAACGGCCATCCGAGCACCTCGAGGTTCGGTATTCCGGATTACCAACGTCTTGCCGCAGTATAACGGGAATGTTATTACTTGCACTGCTACGAACGCGCTAGGAAGAGCAGAGCACAGTGCCAAATTGACTGTACTTGGCAATGAAGCTGGTAGGTTTATATGTTTTTATTCATCAAGTTAGGTTTTGACGTTACTAAATTCAACACTTCCGGATTGCATTAGGACAGACCGAGCAATTACTGTTATAACTAAGTAACTATCTATATATTTGCTCGATTTAACCAACGAACACAACTGTGATGAGTACAGGTCATTATCTATATAATTTATATATACGTGTATGTTGACAATCAGTCGGAGGAGTTGAACTGCGCAAGGTTAAAACAATACATATTCAAGCGAGCCATAAATGATAAATCGGCAAAACTCTGGTAGGCTTTTCAGTTTCCACTTAGGTTTATGCGATTTAGAATGAATCCCATCTTCTTGATCAGCGTCATCAATTTGATCCTCTTCCGGTTTGGTTCTTTTATCGCGGAAGTTTGCACGACCCTCTCTAGTGGATGTATGGGAGATGTTTTATAGGTATTAAAAAGTTACCACCTATTAAGCAGCTAAAACTATGCTTTTTAAGTTAAGCAATGAATTGGATAGACCCCAAATAGTCGGACATGAAGTTATTCAGAATGTAACGTTGCATGAGTCTGGAGAATACATTCGCACTTGATTATACGTTTTCAGTGACCATATGTTGTCTATTTTCGCTGGTTCATTGCTTGGGTGTATAGTATGCATTTTGTATATGGCTAAGCGTCCCCCACATGGCACAAATCCACAACACCAAAGAGAAATATCACTTTTGGTATCAAACGATTCGCATTGGTTGTTGTATCAAATGCAAAGCCTATTATTTTAAACCATAATAATGTTATTGGGGTGATTTGTTGTAGTGCTTATTGAAATTGTTTGAACTGCCAACCCTAGTTGCACACAGGAGCACGGGTAAGCCTCCCTTACGTCTGGAGCGCAATACGCATTTTCGTTTTTCCTAGCTTCAAATTCTGCTGGTGTCCTGTTCTTAAAAAGCATCCAAAAGCATCATGCTCACACGTAGTTGTTATTTGCCTCGGTAGAGCAACGATTTCGTCTGAAATATCAGCACTTTTAATCAGAGGTGGCCGGATGTACGTAACCTTCTGCTCTACTAAACATTCTCCTTACTAGATTTTTACATGGGTATTATAATAGTAGGCTGTTTGCAAATTCACCATGAGGGTAACAGGCTAAAGCGGATGATACGGAATATCCATAGGTTTTGGTTTGTCATAAAACTCACAATTGGGCGGTGAGTTGTACTGAATTGAACCTCCGTCATGGTACTCAAGAAGGCCGCATCGCAAATGAAATGAATTCATTGACTCTCGATCCTAACGATTGGTCGTACTTTTCCAAGTAAGTAGTACTAGGTTTATTCGGCCGTACCGTTTTCACTGAACATCGCATTTACCATCTCGCAATGGACACGTTACTTTTCTCGGAAAAGTTTAGCATTGACTACTGTCAAACTGCTTTCAGGGTCACCACTGCTATGTTTCACTTACTTTTTAAGAAAAACTCGGTACTGCGCACTTGGTACTGAACTGACTCGAATAGAAATCTAGCTTGCAACACTGGTCTGTTAACAGATTGCAGCATTAGAATCTTCGGTCTGGAAATGTTTAACTTGCGCGTTTATACTGATCGTTTATTTAAATGATATCTGCGCACTATGCCCTCTTTTCTATTCATAAAATTTTACCGTTCCCGTATTTTAATTTTACTCCGTCCGTAGTCGAGATTTTAAAGTGCTGAAAATATACACATCTGGATACATAAAGTTTATTTGGATTTTGCCCTGACTTTAATAGACTGATTTCTCTATTACCAATTTTTCGATAAGTTGGTGCTTTAAATGCTGCAATTTAGCAAAGTGAGGTCACGCGTTACTTATGGAGTGACCATTTAATTGTACTAGCTCCCCGACTGCTGAAACTCACCTCAATACTGTGGACCAGTTCGAATTGACCAACTTCGAACGAATCAATTTTGTAAGAACAAGGTTTGGAACATTTCTGATTATAGGTGTGCACTGCAAATTCACTCAAACTGGGCTTGCGTTTGGGTGTTATGCATATTATCGCAAAGATTTTTTCGGATCCTCGATCATTCGAAATGATTCAGACCGGAATTTTAAACATAACCGAATGGGTTAAGCAACACCATGTATATTGTGTACGATTTACGCCACACAGGTGCACACACTATACAGGAAATTAAGGTCTGAATGTAGACAGGAATGTTGACAGAAATTGCATATCAATCAGCAGTTTGAAATGAGTGTTTTCAGCAAAAATATTTTGAATTTCCAAAATCATAAGGGAAACAAGTATACATGCTTTGTTTGGCTGCAAACACTGTCCCAGATTTCCTAAAGCACAAAAGCCCCATAAGATTTAGATGGCAAATCAGTCTAGTCAAATTAGCTTGTGTAGCTAAATCCGCTCACCACTTTTATTATCCTTCTCCATTTCCGCTATTTCTATGTGCTCAACAAGCGACGCCCCCTGGTTTCCCTCAGTTTCTTAATTCATTCTCGGTGATCGTGGCGAAGAAGAACTCCGGTGTTGAGCTGGAATGTCGTACCAGTGGAAGTCCACCACCGGTCGTCACCTGGTACAAAGACAGTGTACCCGTGGACACTGGTAATCCGCGATTCACCCAGCTGCGTGAGTCACCTTACTGCCTACATTGTCCATGCTTGAATCCAACCGCTGAGATGCATTTATCCTAGACTGCATTTTGGGACATGCATCGCTCCCCAGCAAGTGGCTGCCGTTCTTTCTTTAAAGTTTCTATTCCACCTCATAGTTGAGTAATACCTTTCACATCAGTATTAAGCGATAAATTCCTATTCAAATGAAGGGTAAATAAAGCACTTCCTAATTAGATATGTGACGGATATCGGCGTTAGAATCACTAACTTATTGTGGCTTGACTCAACATGACAGGCCATTGTATCGGAGATAAGCAGTGGAAATATACAAGGCTTTTCTATTTATATCGTATTTGCGTTGGCTAAGCAATTGTTTAAAGTGTGAGTTAGACAAACCACAGAAATGAGGGGGACTGCGGGACCGTTAGTACATGTGCCCTCTTTGAAGATCCGCTCCAGTACACTGCGCCACACAACGACACACTGATTGTCTCACCACATTTAATGAGGACGCGATTTCAACCACACTGCCAGTATCAGCGAACAATCCGATCAATGAATGCATAAATTACGCTATCAACACTTATTCCTGTTTCACAGGTGTACCAGTTTCCACTAGATTCACTTCAACAATTTCCTTTTAAACTGATCTGAGAATATATAATGCATTGTGTCTCTTACTCTTCGGGCCTATGTTGCGAGGTCTTCTTGCACGTGGTCCATCTGGAAACTAATATTTCAAGTTCCGCTGCGGATTCCGCAGCATATAAACGTTTCGCGACTTTGAAAAATTATTATACTTAGAATTGTGGTTTTGTTTCTCCCTTTACCAATTGTGTTTGAGTAGAGCAGATCTTCCAATTGGTTTGAGTAGCTGAGGCTCCCGTTCAACAAGTCTACCGCATGTAGCTGACACACGATTGACCATCCGACTAAGTGCAAATAGAGTGAATTCAACGGATCATTACTTCAAAATTAGAGTAACACTGTTTGCTCACCAGCGAAAACAGATGGAATCCCATGACGGCACAAAATTGAGAAATTATTCTTTGGATATGCCTCAGCTAAGGCAATTACAGTGAAACCAAAGTTGACAATATCTACATCCTGATCGCATCTCTAATTTGACCTTTCCATTTGTTATTGGTCGAACCTCCTCATGGATCCAGACCAGTATATTAGCCACCACCATATGTAGACCACTTTGGTTCAGTCCTTTGAGTGGTCGGCTAACATGCAGTTCTGCTGTACCGTTTGGTGTGCGTGACGCGTGATCACGGGATAGCCAGATGAGAGCATGAAAATGAACAATGAATTTATACGGGTTAAGAAGCGTTGCTTTACAAATCCCGTTGGATAGTTGCAGGGGATATCAACATAACAATAATGATGATAAGGATAGTAAAATAGTTCATACTTTAAATATGAAAATAAGGGCTTATCGTTTGCTTCGCTGTAGTCCTGCGATCCTCTTAGATTCACAGCACTCACAGTTAACAACAAATAATTCCATGGTAAACTCCAGGTGTAGGATGGAGACGTAGTGTTAAGTAACAAAGTGTAAGTGGCTGAGTGCATCGTCTAACCGTCTTTTAAATACTGTTAGTGTCGGTGCAGAGACGACCGATTCTGGGAGAGCATTCCACGCGTGACAGACACGGATGGAAAGGAAATTTCTGCGGCACTCCAAACGACAGTATTGTTCTGCGAGTCTTAATGTGTGGCCCCTCAGGTTTGTATTGCTGCTGAGTTGCAGTAAAGGGCGGCACACATGATGTGGGTCTCGCAGAATCAAGTATGCCATAATCAGGTCGCCTCGTAGTCTGCGATATCTTCCACTGAACACCCCCAATCGTTGCAGCCTCTCCTGGTAGGAAAGATTGCGCATTCCAATTACGTTCTTAGATGCCCGGCGTTGTGGCTGCTCCAGTGCATTAAGGTCGTGTTTCAGCCATGGATGCCAGGCTTGAATTGCGTATTCGACATGGGGGCGAACATAAACACCGATCATTTATCGAAATATGGAGCTGTTTATTTGTCCAAACGCCCGCCTCAACAGCCCGACGTGTTGGTTACCGGTCTTCGAGGCCTTTTCAGATTGCCTGGAGCAACCCAACTCATCTTGAACCAGGACAACAAAGTCACGTTCGAGAGTTGATTGTTGCAGTACATCCGTTCCGAGTCGGTAAGAGTAGCTGCTCTGATGTCGGATGGAAAGCACCTTGCATTTACTGACGTTGAAATGCAATGAGTTTTGGGTCGACCATTGATACACCGTATCTTAATCACTCTGAAGCACATGTTGGTCGGTGTTCGCTTGGATCCTGTGCCAGATCTAGATATCGTCGGCAAACATTTGGAAGTTTGAAGCGATTCCTTGTGCAAGGTCATTAATAAACACCAAAAACAAACGTGGACCTAGAACCGAGCCTCGCGGCACACCACACTCGACTTCTATGGGGTTCGATAAAGAGCTCCGAACTCCGACCACTAATTGCCGTTGAAGTAGAAAGTTGGCGATCCAGCTTAAAAGAGGGCCGCCGGTCCCCTTATTCTGGAGCATGGAGGATAGTATCCGATGGTCTAGACGATCGAAAGCCTTGGAAAAATCCAGGTAGATCACATCAACACTTTCTCCAGCGACAGCTGCGTCGGTCCAGCTACTGCGCGCGATTGGTAAATTAGTTGTACATGACCGCTGTCGACGGAAACCGTGCTGTTCAGGAGTGATGAGGTTGCAGTTTTCCAGATAGCACACCAGTGCATCGGCAACTATGGATTCCATGAACTTGGAGAGTATAGGAAGAAGAGTTACGAGGCGGTAGTTGGAGGAATCAGTTCTGCTTCCACCGCTGTGGATCGGGCTTATTATTCCATGCTTCCACATGGCGGGAACTTGGTTCTGGTCTAAGCAGTGCTGGAAAAACTGCGCTAAAGGTCCTGCCAATTGGTTTGCTGCTGCTCCCAATGACTCTGGACGAATGGTGTCGACACCCGGCGAGCTGTGCTTGCGTAGAGAAGTCAGCTTTTGCAATACAACCTCTGCGGTTAAATTGATGTGGGTTAGTCCTGGCGGGCAGAATACAAAATTGGTAGATCGCTTGGTGACAAGACTCTTTGAAACGTGGGGGTGTGTTTCATCTGCAGCGCGTTTGCAGCTTCCGTAGACGTTCTTGTTGGGCCATCAGCCCTCTTGAGTGGAAGAAATCATTGGCTCACCTTTCGTAGGCTATTAATGCGCTTGTACAGCAGTTTGTGGTTAGCACTGAAGGTTGTTGCGATGTTCTGCTGATAGGCGGTTTTGTCTTCTCTTAACAGTTGAGTGCAGTGGTTACGTTCGGTTACGTAGTTGTCCCAGGTTTCTGGTGCTGGAGCTTCTATGTACATCTTTATGCTGCCTTGCGTACTGTCATCCATTTTCGAGTTCTGCTTCTAACGAAAGAAACTGATTTGCAATTATTGCAAGGTTTTATCTCTGAAGCCTGTGCAATCAGCTGACTGAATGTGTTGACGAACTCGAGCCAGACGACTTCCGGGGGTTCTTCTTCGAGGAAAGACCAAGTTGTGACGCTGACGAGCTGGGCGAGTCGGTCGTACCTTGTGATGGTTCGCACAGTATCATTGTTATCATTCAGATATTCTGCATAGCAGACAAAATTGAAACTGATGACCGTGGGATCACTGCGACCCAACGGGCAGTCTAAAACCAACGCATCAATCATATGCTCCTCGTTGGTAAGCACAAGATCTAGCACAGATGGCCTGTTACCAGTTCTGAACCGAGTGGGCAAATTGATGTGGTTGTAAAGAGGAACAGTAGTTACTAGATCTTGTAGATCGGTTTTTAATTGTTCTCCGATCGTTGCAGGGGCTTCTAAGCAATGTACGTTGAAATCCCCCATGATAAGAATGTGAGTGTACTTTTGTTGTAAACTGCACCTTATAGCAGCCGCTAGGTGTTAGTCGGTTTCAGGTGTTGAGTTAGGGGCGCGGTACACCAAGACAATAAGGCAAGCGTCCCTGCCTTTTAACTGCAACCGGCACCAAAGAGAGTCAGGTAACTGCGAGTCTGAATCCTCTACGGCTTCGCACTCTAAGTCGTTTACATAGTACAGGATTACCCCTCCTCCTTTTGTGAGCTTGTCGTTCCGGATCAGCGACATGCCGGGTAGCGACACTTCAGCGTCCGTCATTCCCGTGTGCAACCATGTCTCGGTGATACCAATGACATCATACGAGCCGGAAGCTTGGCGATCTTTCAGTTCAGCCAGTTTGTTAGAAAGTCCCTGAGCATTTGTATAAAAGCAGGCCAGTTTCTCGGTCTCTAGAGTCCCGCAGATAGGTGAAGCTGTCAAGTGTGGGAGAATGCCGACCGATGGGAGGTCGGCAGTTGCTCGTTTGTTTGATGGGTTAATGATACCTCGTTTGCAACTTGATTCGGCCAAGGTGCGTCCCAGCCTTCGTTTAGACCTACTTCAGAGTCAATTAAAGCAGCAGTCAAGTTACGCTTCTGCACATTCGTCAGTATGCTTGCTGCTTCAGTTTCTTTAATATTTGAGCTGTGCAAATTGTTTGCGACCTTTAACCGAATTTCGGAAGGAAGATGTTTCCGATTTCTCCGCCATCGATCCAAAACATCCTTTGCTTGTTGCTCTGACTGAACCACAAGCTTTAGGATTCTAGGGCCGTGTCCTCTATAATTCGATGAGACAGGTATCCTGGTGAGCAACAGTGCCACAACATTATCCAAAGAAAGTGTTTCGCGAATGAACCGCCACTGTTCTAAATCGGGCTTTCCGGTCTCTTGCATATCGTTAGAAGGATGTTCTGGCACGCCATGTATGAAGACTGTGTTTCGGCGGTCTTGCTTGCTGTGCCCCGCTTCAGTGTTTCGTTTTGGTTGTCGTGCGCTCCAAGAGACGTATCCCACATGATTCGCGTTTTAGCCCGCTTGCGGAGAGCAAAACGTTTTCTACGTCGGGGGAGGATTCTAGAGTAACTCGAATAAGTTTGGGTTCACCATAGTGTGGCGAGTTCAGATGCCGATTAATTCGTAACAAGTTTATGGGCTTGGCTTTGATACTCATCTGCATACACAATGAATTCCATTGGTCTTCGTCGTCTGATAACTTATCCCGCAATGTGATGGCGGTAGATTCAGGGACATTTGAGCAGACCACAGTCCGAGCACTGTTGTTGGATCCCTTTTTAATCGATCTACAAGGTATGGTACTCATTTGTCTTGACTTGTTGACAAGTGATTGCTTGCTCTTTTTCTCTCTATTCGCGTTAACGGTGTTTACAATGGAAGAGGACGCAACGGCAGCCTCTCGGTGGACCCTTGCAGCAATCTCTTCATATGTAACCGATGTTCTGGGAGGCTTAGTCTCGTCAAGAGATATTTGAGCTATAGGTACCAAGGGTTGGTGTTTGGCTGCTTCATCATTGTTAATACTAGATGTCACGTCTAGTGGAATTTGCTTATCCAGACGTTTTGAATGGTGCTTGATTTTCGTTGCTGTGAGTAATGTTTGATTCACGTAGGTACAGTCTGTCTTTATCCGGCGTTCTACCAAATTTGGAGAGGACAATGGAGATGGAGACGTGGCTGATTGCGTTGCAGGAGAAGCGGGTTGTTCAGCATTCCGTTGCTTAGCAGCCGCTACGCTTCTGTGGTCCACATTCGCTTCCATTGAAGTAATCTTATTGTTTATCCTCTGCTCCGCTTCTGCGATTAAGCGGTCGCATTTCTCAGCTAGGATAAGCAAGCACTTAACGAGGGGGATGGTGGAACACGCAGTACAGAACCAAAACGCATCTTGGGAGCTATTTCGCTCCCGTAACTGTTGTTGGGACGCATTAGCACATTTCTTATGGTACCATTCCAAACAGTGCGAACAAGCCAGACCGATTTTTACTACTCGATGTCATTCTCCTAACCCGCAAATGCCTTTCGATGGGAGTCTCTTCGGTTTCGCCTTTCTGCCATTCAATTTGGTGTCGTTACCTGACCCAGTGGGTTGGTTAGCGTTCTGTACTTTTACAGCTTTGAGAGCGGCGCACATCGGTCAGGCGAGCGTGGTGGTTGCATGCTGCTTGGCAGATCTAGTGAACTTCTCAGTGGCAGTCGCACGAGGCATCAAAGTATCACTCAAGATTTTGACTAAACTAGTATGCAGTTTTGCATAGTATTTGTTAACATTCAAGGGTCTTGACAGTAAATAGCTGTGAGCATGTCATTACCTAATCTACTAGTTTTTGGAAGCGCCTTTAATTTTACCCTTCCAATTATACGCAGTGATTAGGTCCAGGTGTTTCATTTGGGTTCGCCTCAAATACATATTTTGATGGATATTCAAAATGTTGGAGCACCAACAGCTGATCTATAAACCACTACACAGTGCCTTCATTCCACGACCCAGTAGAATATAATACCGGATGAGTTAGGCATAATATGTCAACTATGCCTTTCTTTACCTAACCAGAAGATGGAAATCTGAAAATCGCGAACCTTGTGGAGGATGATGAAGGCAAATATGAATGTGCCGCGACCAATGACAAGGGAACACGAGTATCGTCTGGTGATAATTTGCTCGTACGAGGTGAGTATCTAGACCCAATTATTCTCTTGCATTTCAAATGACCACATGTTCCATCAAAGTTCACCACCCTAAGTAGCTCGCCAACTTACATTTTTTACCGGTGAAGTGGAAGTCTTACTTTATGTTTAAATCATAAGTAAGCTTGGTTAGCCGCTCTCATTATATGCGAGAAAAAATTCCGACTTGTGATTTGCTACTCCCTTGTAATCCTGTTTTTCCCAACTACATCCGGTGAGACAGAGACCTGGGGACTTCATATGGTGGCATAAATGATGAAGCAGATCACACAGTCGCCATAAAATAATAACGCTTCCTCACGTCTGTTGGAATGATATCGTTTATGGTTAAGCATTTTGCAGCGTATGGGTGCCGAACATTCATTTTCTTCAATGCGACATCTTCCCATTTGGGCACGGCTCTTCTAAGTGCTGCTGTGTCGTTAATGATCTCGGTTCAACTGTCGCCTATTGAGTTTAAAATCTGAGAGTCTGATGGATACCTAGACGTTAATGTTGACATCTTCCAACTTTGTTGGTCCTGAGAGACGCATATGGTTTACGCCGCATTACACGCAGATCCGATAATACGCATACCGCTTGCCGTATGGATTCCGCAGAAAAAAGAGTATGGTTTACGCCGGAAAGGAAATCCGTGTGATAGTAACCCAAGGCTACGACGGCACCATGGGACGGTATGGGCAATGCACCCCATTAGGTCTCACAAATGTAACTGTTTAAAGCCAGTGGCCCTTGATAGTAACTTTTTCAGCAAACGCTCGCATTCGAAGATCTTCTATCGAAACCATGTTACTGTGGCCCTTAAACCATTTGATTGCAAATGTGCCGTTCCGGTTGGGACTGCTGCCCCCCGGAATCCATTATGACCTAAGAGACGCCTCCCTATTGACGTGATTGTTGGCCCCACCAACGGATGCGAATAGACAAATACCTGGCGTTTCATATCGGCAGACTAACTCGCCTTATTTGCTCCTGTCTGAATCAGTTAATTATTGCCCATGGTTCGGAAACATTGGATCCATTATTAACTTATAGAAAAACGAATGCTTGTGAGATATCAAATGAAGAAAGTTTGCATAATCCTGAGAATAAATTAGCGCCAGATAAATGAAGTAAATGTTGAGCTCAGCAGGAAGTGAAACTGAGCACACAGATTTTTTCTGATGCGTTGACACCAGGTTAGAAAATGCTATCATGTAATGCAAACGTGCGGATGCATTGCCGTGCCGCTTTTAACCCCGGTTATGTGGTGAAAGAGCAATCTAAATGAAGCGGGATTACCAGGTGTTGCAAACCCCGGGCGATAAAATTCGTCCCACATCCCAAAGAGTTATACTGTGCTACCAACTTTATATTATGACATCATTTTCAGAAGATGATGATAAATATTGTTGTGATTTATGCCAATGGTTAATTTGGCAAGCCTGCTTCAGTGCAGTAAGCTCTGATTAGAAAAACTATTATTATTAGTTAGCACTGAACACGTCTCTATTCATAGTTCCACTGTCTTTGAGTAGTTGGGTGCATTGTTTAAAATGGGCTACATAGTCGTCCCACGTATTCGGCGTTGGTGATGCTCTGTACTCTCGGCAGATTGCGCTGCGTAGAGTCATCCAGTTTCCAGTTCTGCTCCTCCCGAAAGAAACGGTTTTGGGCCCATTGAAAACCCTTGTCTCCGAGGCATCCGTAACCAGTTGACTGAATTTGCTGACGAATTCGAGCCGTTACTTCCGGGTGGCCTCCAGGGAGGTACGGCCAGGTTGTGGCACTGAGGAGCTGGGTTAAGCGGCAGAAGCGCCTAATAATGAGCACTACCTCACTGTTCTGTTGACGACATTGGGCATAAGAGATGAATTCGAAACTGATGAGCGTATGATCAATGCGACCCTAGAAAGCATTCTACAATCAATACAGAAATCATATGTTCCTCGTTGCTGAACACAAGGTCCAGAAAAGATGGTCTATTGACTGTTCTGAAAAGAGTAGGTATAATGTGCTCCCCGACAGGCTGAAGATGTACGGTGTTGGTGGATAACTACACCAATGGATCAGGAATTTCCTTGTTGATCGAAAGCGGAAGGTCCAGATTGACAACCATTTAACCGACTGGTATCCATCGAGCAGCGGCGTACCCCAAGGCACTGCACTGGGGCCGATTTTGTTTCTGATCCATGTACACGATATGCCTCAGCTACTTCAATCTCCTTATGTGTTGGTCGCAGATGACTTGAAAGTGTGGATAGTAATCCAAACACCCAATGGTTGTGATTTGCTTCAGCAGCACCTCTACCGCCTCTGCACGTGGTCTGCAGAGGTCAACCTCCGGATCCACCCGGTCAAGTCGCAATTCATGAAGTGTGAGCACAGTCGAACATACACGATGGCTGGTCAACCGTTGCATCCCGCCCCTTTTGTGCGCGACGTCGGTGTACTCTGACGCTGCGACCTAAAGTCCATGGACAATACGAATAGGATTTACCAAAACAGCCTTCGTATGCTTTGGACGCTCAGACGCAGCTTCAGCACTTGGTCCGAAGAGATTGCCTCTCGCCTCTTCGTTTCAATAATACGACCAATGCTACGGTATGGCTCTCCCGCGTTTTGTCCTATCACACGGGGTGAGGTAGAAAAGATTGAGCGAGTGCAGCATGTAGCCACAAGGTTGATTCCCAACTTACGTGGTGTGAAGTACGAAGACGGGTGTAAGAAATTAAGGTTGTACACCCTAGCTTATCGTCGAATGCGGATTGACCTCATCAGGACTCACCGGATATTACGTCTGGGTGATTACCCTATGTTGAGACCGCTGCTTCATCTGCGCAAACCAAGGAGCACACGAAGACATTGGTATAAGCTTGTCGTACCGGATTTGAAGCGGGTCGCTCACCAACTCTGTTCCGAACGCAGAGTGTTGAATGTCTGGAAAGACCTGCCACAGCACGCAGTAGATACAAACTCAATGTCGGAATTAAAGAAGTTACTTGACGAACACTTTGCCGATGCAAAATATATCGAGCGGTACACAATATTACGGGTATTCGTCCATGAGTGACGACTGATGCAGCTACACAGAGCAAGCTCTACCCGCTGCTTCTAACCAATATTCAGTATTCAATGACGTGATTGTAATGTGAAACATTGGTTAGGAGCTCTTGTGGATCCGCTTTCAATGGTTCTCCGATTGCAGCAGGAAAGCTAAACAGTGTACATTCAAATCATCCATGATAGGGATGTGGGTGTCCTTTTGCTTTCGCTTGCATCTTAAAGCTTTCGCAAGGTGACAGTCCTGTTCCAGTGTAGATTTTGAGGGCGGTACACCAAAGCTATAAGGCAGGGGTCTCTGTCATGTACCTGCAGCCTGAACCAAAGTGAATCGGTGAATTGGAAGTCTGTATTCATAACGGCCTCGCACAGTAGGTCGCTTCGGTAATAAAAATTAACCCTCCTCCTTCCGTAAGCCTGTCCTTTCATATGACTGGCATGCCCGGCAGCGACACACAGCGTCCGTCATTCCAGTGTTATCATGACTTCGTGACAACGATGATGTCGCATGCATTCGAAATTTCGCGACCTTTCAGTTCGGCCAGCTAATTGAAAGGCTTTGAACATTGATATAATGTCAGGCTAGTTTCTGGCTATCTAGGAACACATATGGAGCCAAAGGAGTTAAGTGCGTTAGAATGCTGACTGATTTATGGTTGGTCGCTATTCGCATTTTTGATAGGATGATGATAACGCGTCGTTCGTAAAATGATTTGGACAATATTTGTCTCAGTCCTGGTCCGGACATACTACAGAATCGCGTAACCGAGCGGTAAAGTGTTGAAACTGTGGTATTGCGGATCGGTTTGCTATTTCATGTAAGCACATGTCGGATCTTTGCAATACTTCAACAGTCTTTAATCGAATTTCAGATGGAAGGCTTTTACTATGTTTGCGTCGACATTCCAAAACTTCCGTCACCGGCTGGTGTAACTGAACCAGGAGTAAAATATGTAGCTGTCTTCAACCACTTGATTCAAGCAGAAAGATGACATAAATTGCTATATGCCAACATTCCGATTGTTCGCCCTAGTAACATACACAATACAAGCAGAAATTCATACACAAATATATACATAGGCAGGATTAATCAACGGTTGGCTTAGAGGGTGGTTGGATACTTACCAAATTGGGTGGAACAAATAATAACGCAACACACCGGAGCGTCCCCAGAAGGAATCGGATTCCGTCATCATCTGTAACCGAGCTCTTCGTGACAACTGGTAAAAATATGGACCCGAATACTGCGTTTCAAGTGCCACTACCCAACCGGAACCCGATAAAGTTAGCAATCAGGGAAGCTTTGCTAATTAGTGTCTATAAACCTGTGCTATCTGCAAGGAAACTCTTGAGGCAATTAATCAGATTGCCTTGGTCTTGATTTTGACGTCTTGATTGGTGTGCCAATTTTTCCCATGTATATGTGTGTGTATGTTTATCTCCTTGTATTTTGTATGCGATTGAGGAGACTAATCGAAATGTTAATATATCGCAATCCACGTCTTCTTGCTATTTTGATGAAATGAACCATGAGTTTTAGGATGCTTGGTCCGCTTCATCTATAATTTGATTAGAGGGCTAGTCTTTTGAGCGATCACGTCACAATTCGTCCGAGGCAATTTTTTCATGATTGAACCGCCATAGTTCCATGTCGTGTTGCTGCAACAGTTTCCTGATCAGAATCCCATTCATTGGTACTCCATTCAAAAATACTATAATCAACGCTTTCTTGATTAAACTACCATTAGGGATACGTTTGTCTATACTTTAGAATCGGATCCTACACCCATGTTCTGTAACTTCCCTAACTTTCCTTGGCACAATTTGCGTTTCTGTTACAGAGAATGTGGAGGCCAGTTTGCAGCTAATAGCCCCAAGTAGTACGTTTCTCCCCCTGTGAATGTGCATGTATATGCTCCGGTGATGGAATTTTTGCTGCGTTTGGGTGTCACTAAGCCGCTTATTGCTTCCTGCTTTGCACCTAGCTTGCCTGTTTATGATTTTCTGATAAGATTTGTAAATTTTTATCTCATTGCTGCACCTTTCAGCTGATTCCCCTTATTCTGCTGCGTTTGGCCAAATTACCACATCATCTCCTTGACGGAAGTTTCAACCGTTTAGAGGATTGTATCACTCCCACTGAGATAATGACGAGGCGAATTGATGAGTAACAATTTTCCTAAATCGACTGTACCATAGCTCACCGAGTGTTTCAGTTGTCCTGGCCGTAATCCACCGGTGGCGAATCTGTGCCGGCGTAGCTGTGTTCGACCTCATATTAGCCATAGCCCGTGTGCGCCTATTTGTGGCCCCGTGGTAACCAGGCGTTAGTATGTGGCACCGAGTCACAAACTACCCAGGTGAGCAAGTTAACAAGCCAAGGAGGACTGAATTTCGCGCCATTTAAAGCCAAGATATTAAACAATGAATCAGGTCTATCCTGCCCCCACAAATCATCCATCTGTCATTGGAAATGCTAACTAAGAATCTGATAGAATCTGTAAACTTTGACCTCATGAGATCGCCGATATGATGACGCGTACATGAGCAATACTTTAGTCCCATGTTAATTGTGCTTGAGTTTCTATCGGCGTGCTGATTTAGTCGTAAAGAACAAAAGTTATTACTAACCTCGAATTGGTTGTTTGTTCTAGATTTAGAAGAGTTCATCTTGTTTTCTCTTCAATACCAACTAACCGACGACCGATTTGGTGGGAATTAACTTCACGGTATTGTGTGTGTCTTAAAAGAGTTCTCGGTGACTTTTTACATTGTTAACTCATATTTAATTGAATAAATGTATGCATAGTAAATTCTCGACAATCCGCGGCACGAGGCTTGATCATGATGATTGGAAAACACGAATTATCGTTGAATATGCAGTAGATTTGGAAATGTTCCTGTAGAATCTTGGATCGATATTGTTTCTAGGAGAGACGGTCCTCGTGACCGTGCTAGTCTCGAAGAGTGGTTCCATCCAACACGTAATGTAGTACTACCGGCTATCGCCTTGTGTACATATGATTCACATATGATTCGACATGCTGCGCACGTCAAAAGAACATTAGCCGGCTCCGTGGATGAAACAGGGCTCCCATCCATATGCTCCACAGTCTAATTCCTTCTGGCTCACTCTGGATATGGGGTGTTTAGTTAGACCTGAGGGTGAGGAGGCGCAAACCACCCATGATCCGTCTGTAAGGGTAGGCGTCTTGTGGCCGTAGTGATAGACAAATGCGGAATCGGATGCTGCCAACCGGTTGTGAATGTATGCAGTTTTGTTGCCTAAATTGGTGTATTTGATAGTGTTCTTTCGGTTTGTCCGCTTGAGATGTAAAATTAAACCCTCGTATTGTTTGACTGACGTCCTGGGAGTGGTTAAGTTCATTCTGCTACGTTAGATGAAGTAACGTTACTGATTGCCAAGTCCCATACATCAATTCCTAGTGCTGTTATACAAAGATTGTTGTATTTTATATGGACAGCACTTGCCAGCAGAAAAAGCACCAAATCCTGGATCGCTGCACCGAACCATTCCCTGGAACTGCTTTGACCTCAAACATTCAGGAAGCAGCAAGAGAAGATTGTTCGTCAAGTCAGCCTTAGTACTTATTGTTCTGCAACACGTGTACGTGGCGGACAGATAGGTATAGCCTGCTAACACCTGCTCAAGGATTTCACACAAGGCATGAAAGTTGGTGTGTGCTCATTCGCTAGTCATGAATTTCCGAGGCTGACTTACTGCTGAGCTTATATCTCAGCCAGTATAAAAATAAGTAGGTAGATGTACAAATGTTATGTTCCTAAACAATTAGAGGCATAGTGAAAAGCTATTGTCTGACCAATATGGTTAGCTGGATCACATAAGACAGGAAAAGGTTCGAGCATAAAACGGTGGTTACTCTATGGATTCCTAAGGGGACTGACAATTTTATTATACTAGCAAAATTGAGAAGTTGGGAACGATCACAATTAAAGGTATTGCCAGGAGTTTAAGTGGAGGAATCCGGACATTCCTGGAACCGCCTCCAGGGGACCCGCATCCATACACGGTATTCACTAAAGCAATTTTACCCGTATATTCATGCCCATCTAGTCGCATGCCAGGGTGGATTAATAGCTAGTCATCCGTCACCTCTTTAACTCATATTTATGGTTGTAAATATATGCGTACATTATGGGTGATCAAACGTCCTGCCAGTTCCATCGTACGGCTCTTTGAAGTCGTCATTTTTATAAGCCATTGGGTCGGTGACCATAGACTATATATTCGTAGAAACATTAAGGAAGAAGCTTCAATCTGTCACATCAAGAGATCAGTCCAGTCGTGAGCAAAAATAAAGTAAGAAAGGCTATAAAATATGAGGTTTAAGCAGCAACAATAATGGCAGTGATAATGAGTAACTAGCGGCTGATTATTGCACAATAGAACAAATCGACCGGTCACCTGATCAACGTACTGTGAGTCAGCCGAAGACAGACCATATTTTGAATTATCCATAGGTTAGAGGTAGTAAAAACAAATTTTACATTCACTAACAGCTGAATGCATTCGAAAGGTACATACTTCGATTTCATCAAACACCGAAACGTGCTAGATTTCCTGAACTGTCGTTTGCAGTGCAAGTGAAATAACGGAACCGTAGAAAAAAATATTGCGTATTGTTCAGTTTAATAGGGGTTACGCAGATAATGCTGGGTATTTTACCAATAAATTAGAAAAATCCTGTTTACTTTAAAGGCAGTCGCGTTAATTATTCTAAACTAATTAGATGGTAACCATCACGAGGAAGGTTACGCTTATTTTTCATATATATATATATATATATCCATACATCGCTTTCAAATAGTCAAAGAATTCCGTGTGTTATTAGCGTTCGGCGTAGCCTTCCATCTGTTTCGCCTTCACCGTCCACCATACATTTTTACTGCGACGGAGCTCTCGAGAAAATCGTCGTCGAATTTTGCTAATCTCACTCTTCTTCTGCAAGTCACTGGGGTCTGACACATGTGCAGCAAATGCAGATTTCTTTTCAGACACCAACGTGCCAATCATCGCAATTTCCTCCTCAAACCAATCAGGCCGATTACAGTATGCGCGTCCGATTGTCTCATCGGCAGCAGCTGGACCCCGGTCGCGAATGAAGTGACATATGTCGCCCACCGTAGCTCTGCACCCAATCACACAGACATGCAGCCATCGACTTCCCCAGTTGCATACTGTTCACCAACGCAGGTTCACAGGTAGAGTGCAATAAATAGATTTACGAAATTATATAAACGGTTTGCTCTGCACCAATTTATATTCAGTGCCACACTAAGCTCCACGCACTTCACTTATGTCAAGCTGAAGTACTATGACATAGTCAAGCAGGCGAGCATGACAACATAGTTGTTGTGTATATGGTGCTACATCACTCGCACTCAGTACAAACCGAGTATCGGTGATTGTCAGGCCGTGAGTGGGACACAGTGAGAGCAGCTTGTCACCGTTCACATTAGTTGAACTAATGTCATACGGACGGATGACACCTGTCCACACTGATGCATCACGCCCAACACGCGCGCTGAAATCACCCAGCAGAAATAATTGGTCGCTTCTCGGCACAGATCATCTTACGGAGGACAACTGACTGCAGAACTGATCACGCGTCTCATTAGGATAACACATAGTCGTACATGCTTATAAATGGCAAACTTACCTCTACCGAGTCGTAGGCATATTTATTAGTAGCACGCTTATGCCAATGGCCTCACCCAGCAGCTGACCATTTAGGCCATGGGATTGTACAAATCCGACCTCAAGTTCACTTGTTGCTGAGGTGGCGTTCCCCACCCAATACAAGGTTTAGTCGGCACCATCTTCATGCGACTTACCTTGCTCAGCGAGCCAGGTCTCCCTGAGCGCAGCAATATCGATGTTGTAGCGCGCCAGTTCCATCGCGACGAGTACAGTGCGTCTCTCAGGACGCTCACATGTATTCCCGTGTATCAAATTTGCACGTTTCATCACCCGATGTAGGGCGCTTTGCGCGGAGGCATACGATTGCGATGTTAGGGAACCGTATGTGTGTTGACGACTTCGACTGGAGGATGTGGTGGATTAGGTGAGACGCGGATGGGAAGAGTATGTTCAGAGGAAGAACAACGGAACAATGGTGTATTACGGGTAAAAACGCAGTACTTAACTAGTCCAGTGGGATCGAAATTTTTGCGAAAAGTGAATTGCGTGATAAAATGAAAAGCGTTATGGTGGACTCACTATAGACTTTTGTAGAATAGCGATGTTGGCGCATTAAACGTAGAAATCCATAAATACATTGGTTGGGAGTTTGGTAAGACACCGCTTGATTGAGTTTTGCAGCCCCTCGCTAACAATTCATAACATGAAATGCAAATGAGAAAAAGCATCGTCAAGTCGTATTTTAAATATCACCAGATTGGGAGCAGTGAAGACATGATTAGGGAGGGCGTTTCAAGGCTGGCACGAGCTGAGGAAAAAGAAATTGCTACGGCATTCAAGACGGCTATATTGTATTTTCAGATTCAGAGGACAACCTATTAGTTCAGTGTTGTGGTCCAATTGCAACAGCGAACGGCAAAAGTGGTTTTGGTTGTTCAGTATCTAGTGAACCATTATGCGACATCCCCGAAAAGCCGATATCGACTGCCGTACATTCTTAGAGATTTCAGTATAAGCTGATAGGGCAGATGAAAGAGCTACTTGACGTTCGTGATTGCCCTACGTTTAGGAGTCTCGACAGAAACGAGCTACTATTTCTGCCAAGCCTGCCACGCCTGAATAGCATATTCCACGTGCGGTCGCACCTAGGCGTTAAGCATTTCCAGAAAGATTACGCGTTCAAACCGACCCAAGACT